GGAAAAAAATCTAGAACATCAATTTAAAATGCAAGGGTCAAGGTGCAAGATACCCAATAAGCAGAACAGCGAACGAAGCGGCAATTACAGTACCGAAAGAAACGGTAAGCTGAATTTATGGGGGATGTTACCCCCCTGGCATGTGATAAAGTAAAGCTTTGGGACCCAGTTTTGGCCTTTTTTTTTTTTTTTTTGGAAAATGCACCTTGTAGGCCAACCTAACTGTAGCTCCCCATTTTAATGCACACAACAGAGCAGCAGAGCTAGATGGAAAGGCCAGGTATTTCAGTATATCCATTTTCCTTCCCTTCTCTTTAAATAGAATTTTATAAGTTCTTTTCCTTGCCGTTCCCATATTAATGTTACCCACGGTACCAGCTCTGAGGCTGAGCTTGGTAAGCAGCACACAGAAAGAATCTCCATTAGCAAACTACAGCAGACACAGAGGGAGGAATGAAGTTATTAATTCATCAGTAGAGATGTTGCTCCGTGCTGAAAGCGCTTTTTAGCAGATATGCACTTCAAAACACAAACAAGCACAGAAAAAAAACAGACGTCAGAGCAGCGGCTGCATACCTGCCAGCCCCTCACAACAGAGATCTACAACTAAAAACTGTGTATTCACCACCAAAACGGAGCTGAGGAGACCCACTCCATCACAGCCATCGGCTGCTTCACAAAAAACGATGGAAGTTTTTGAAGTCGCTGGCTCTGGAGCTGGGAATATGGGCAGGGTGCGTGTCAGGCTTGGAAGCTCACACAAAACCAACTACAACGGTGCAACGGGGCCAGGACACCACCCAGCCAGCAGCCGTATGCTTTTCCTTTGTGGTTGCAGAGCTGTTCCAAAAGCTAAGCTTTCATTCCAAAAGGGGGGGAAAAAAAAAACAAAACTTTTGAAGTCGCTGGCTCTGGAGCTGGGAATATGGGCAGGGTGCGTGTCAGGCTTGGAAGCTCACACAAAACCAACTACAACGGTGCAACGGGGCCAGGACACCACCCAGCCAGCAGCCGTATGCTTTTCCTTTGTGGTTGCAGAGCTGTTCCAAAAGCTAAGCTTTCATTCCAAAAGGGGGGAAAAAAAAAAACAACACCACCCAACCCAGAAAGTCTTCAGCTCATCCAAGTCTAGACCGGCTTTTTCTGCAGTTGGAAATCAGATAGTTTCAGTGTTCAGCGAGAGCGTGGACAGAGACACGCTGTGCCCCACTCTTGGCCAACCCCATCCCTGAAAAGGTGTCACTTTTTAGCCAGTACAAGGGCAAAAATCTTCCGAAGGGTGGATCTGATCTGATGTAGAGATGTGTGCTGATGTGCAGCCAGGCTTGAAAAAACACAGCCGCCAGAGATGGGAACTGCCTCAACTAAAGGACAGCGTGAGGATGGTTTAAACGCAGCTGTTAACCCTAGCACTGCTGGTAAAACGTCACGCTGGATGCCATCCTCCTTCAGAGAGCTCTCGGAATGCAAATGCTCTCTTTAGTCATCTTCAGGGCGGGGGAAGACAAAAACCCCAAGAAAAACCAACACAATCCAAACACCTGAGCTGCCTATCAGCACAGTCTAAGGATGAAACCAGGCTGGGCATAGAGTGACCGCAGAACAGCCGAATTCCTCGAGTTTTGAGTCAAAATAGTACAGAACTGTATAAAACAGAGTAGATGATACTTGTTAGTTCTAACATTTCACACCTGCATTCAGTCTCTGCTAGGAGAGCCATTCCTTGCAGCTATGGGTGCAGTTACCATTTTTCATTCCCATTCATCTTTGACTTGCACACGGGTAATTCTGCAACACCTGGGAACAGCTCTGCTGACAGACCCCCCCGCCTGCCCTCACTCCCCCAGGTCCATCTTCTGGTGTTCATCATCAAAAGTTTCCGGTATAAGAAACCTTTTTTCTTTTTTTAAACAACTAAGTCTGCAAGGCAGTATCACCCTTAAAAGCTTTCCCTCGTTTCACAACATTTTTGAAAGGCATAAATAAAGCCAAATAAACTTTACAAGTGACAACATGGCTTTTTTGCTCAGTTTTAATTCCAGCGCTCAGTATCTCCTAGAGAATACTTAAAAGAACTATGCCTAGACTAGGCCTCACCTGCAATTTAATGAAAACAAAAAACTTTGTTCCTCCAGCCTACAAATCATCTGAAAGGCAATGAAAAATACTTAGCTGCATTTCTCAAGCAACTAACATTTTCAGGATTTTTTTTGTGCCTCTGAACACTTGCTTGACTTAGGATTTTTTCAATACCCAAATCAGATTACTCTTCAGTGACTAAGTAACGTTACACAGCAGTTTCATAGCATAGTGTGAACCCTAAGTTTGTTAGCTACCTTCTTCCAGATAAAGATATTTCCAGATCGTCTGCATCAGTAGAGTAAGAGGCTTCTTGCATAACTGCTGTAAGTGAGGAGAAAAAAAAAAAATCTCCTGAAGGCTTTTTAATATGATCTTTCATAAATCAAGTTCTTGGGAATTCATACCAAAGTAGGAACAATGGATTCATTAAATAGTTCACTTTCACCTAATGCCTTCTGCATGCTTCCCTCTTACGCTATAAAGCAACAAGCTGCCACCTTCCCATACTTGTCTGTGGTCAGGGGAGAGTTTTCTGTTTGAAGTCAGAGGAAAAACCCTTCCCTCTGCTTGTGCGGGTTGTGAGCCAAAAGAGAAGTTCTACAAACAGAGTCTCTTCCTCCCACCCAATAGCTTAGAAATATCTGATCAAGGGAAACTTAGGGACTTAAGGCTTAGGATAAAAAATGAAGGCAGAGAGAAGGGTGAAGTTTCCAGAAACACGTAAATCACTTCGTTCTCACTGAATGTGTCTTAATAAATCTTAGAATTGGGCAAAAATCCACATCCCCAGTCCCAGCCAGAAGCAAGTCTTGAGACACAGAGAAAGATTAGCATATGCTCAGTTCAGACCTGCTTATTTATTTCTTAAAATGTTTTTACTGAATTAAACCAACCCATCCTTACCATTTTATCAACACAAGGAATTCTGCTGCTTTAAGACAACAACCTCCCCCAGCTGTTTTTCTGAAGACAACACCTCAGTCTGTTGCCTATTTCCCCAACACAAGGGGAAAACGTTCCCCAGAGGCACGAGTAAGATAACAATTTCATCCTCCTTACTGATGAGGAACCTTCAGATCTTGAAAATATCCTTCCCCACCGCTATTTTTTTTTTTTTACCTTATTAAAGATTAAAACCTGAAGTTACACCGGTCTATGTTACAACAATAGAAATTTAAGTTTACACACCAAAAAGCACAAAAGCCAGGAGAGGAAAACTAGTTTCCATAGGAACATCAATAGCCTTCTCCCTTCAGCTTCTACACACACTTGAACACACACTTCAGGGGTCTAAAGCAAAAGGTTCTTCCCCTTTCCATTGCATTAGCTGGCAACTTTAAAACTTACTAGTAACATGCTACTGCTGCATTTATAGTCAAGACAAAAATCACAGATCACCTGACATATAGAACAGTACCTATATAAACAGCGTATTCAAAGTTGGCACTCGTACGCAAGACAAAAATCACAGATCACCTGACATATAGAGCAGTACCTATATACTTATAAACAGCGTATTCAAAGTTGGCACTCGTACATGTTGATGAACACAAACATTCCAAACACAAGTATTTAGAAAGAAGCATTCAGGCAGCCCTAAGCTATGCTAATGAAATGCCAATGTATCTTTTAATGCCTATATACAAGCTCAGTAATAGTAATCGGACACGGGGCGCTTGTCGCACGCCGACAGGAACCGTTTCATTCTTCATTGAGGACAGCCTGGATTTTACTTGCCTTTTGCATTTTGTGCTAGAGAGCATATCAAGGGGATGGGATGTTTAGAAAGCTCATTTACGACGACCAGCTCTACCTTTACTTTCTATCCACAGTGCTGGATATACACCAGAAGGGTGAAGACCACACACGCTTCAGATACTCCTTACAGTCCCTCACTTGCAAGTTTTACACGTCTGCTAGCCAGAGGCTTTTTTTCAGCACCAACCCTCAGCTTTTGTACTGCACAGGCTGGCAGCAGGGTGAGAACACACCTCGGCACCTAGCTGAGCTGTTCGGGACAGCCGTGTGGCCAGGCTATCAGTTCCCACCCTGCTCAGAACAGAGCGCAGATCAAAGCAAGTTCTTAACATCCCCAGGGTGTAACCTTGGTGCTGCACTGCTAAAGCCACGCACAGTCCTGCTGCCCACAACACACAGATCTCAGGGCGGTTCACGGCTCTTTGAGTATCTTGCAGTGTTTGAGCTGACAGTGCCCGTGTATCCCCTCCTCCTCAAACATACTTGTCAACAGTAATTTGGAGAGGAACCCGCTCTGCTCTGTCAGAGCAAAGGCCTTTGTTACACGTTTTCTTGATGTAGGTTCAAATACAGCGCAGTGCTTAACGACCAGTAATGCAGTCTGTCCAATTTCAGAATCACTTACAGGGGAGGGGGAAGGGAAGGGGGAGTTTCACTTTTTAAACTTGGGAAAACTTGATTTGGCCTTAACCTGAAGGTGATTCTTCTAAAGTCATGATTTGGAACACAGAACACCCAAAGAAAACAAAACTGTTAAAAGCCAAAAAGAACATCTGAAAAACCTGTTTATGGTGGTAGTCAAATGAAAACCATTTCATTTGATCTCTCATCTTGCTTTATACACATTCATTGCACTGGAACATATGCCTTCTATATAAAAAGACACTGTAGAAACCCACAAGATTGTAAATACTAGATTTATGATTTGTTTGCAATTGTATTTAATATTAACAGTATTTTGTTTTTACAAAGCAGCTGAAATTAAAAAAAAAAAAAAAAGGAATAGCAAGAACCCCCCCCATCTGCTGCCTAGCATCAGTAATCCTCACTGGTTTGTTTACCATTTATAAGGAAAACATCATTCAAGGTAGCTTGTCACAGAGACTCTTCTGCAGTAAATGCCCTGCGGTGCAAATCCCTGGCATTTGTCAGTTCAGCTGTGAAAGTTCCTCCTCCTGTATATAATTCAGGGTATGTGCCGATGACAATATTCTTCCCCTCTAAAGTACCTTCCAGCCAAACACAGTAAATCTGGTAACACACGCCTGAGGATGGCAAATATCCTCATTTTACAGAGGAAAACTGAGCGCAGATAATTAAATTTGCCTGAGGCCAGCCTTTCGAATAGCCAGCCACAGAACCCAAATCTCACAGTCCCAGCTGATTCACCTTGGCTGGAGACTACACTTCCTCTCTACGGAAGAGAGAAAATTAACTGATTGCGCTCAAATTGTTTCTTTCTTCATCCTCTCTAAGAGGATCAGGTCTTTTTCTTGTGTAGGATCAGCTTTTGCATTACTGTTTGGAAATGGCGTAGATCTGTTTTCAAGTTAACACCTGCACTAAACCCCATCCCGAAGGAGTCAGTGTGACATGCGATCTGTAGGCAGTTAGACAGTGGGTAAGATCAAGCCTGCTAGTGACGTGGGACACTAGGGAGGTTAGCCTCATCCACCTGCTGAGGGGCCTCTCCGGCCTGGTCTCCAGGAACAAGTTCCACCTCCTTCTCCAGACAGGGGGTTATAGCCTAGAAGTGCAGAGGAGAAATCCACCGTATTAATATTCACCCTCAGCAGGCCTTCACCAACACACAAGGAACACAAAAAAATAAATCTCACAATTATTTGCACCTTGTTTATATTTACTACACAGGCAGCATTTTAAGGAAAATGAAAGCAGAGAAAACATCCAGACTTGAGATGGTTTATTTTTGTAGTGCTATGCTAACAGTAAAAGCCATTGCAAAACACTTGTGTTTTGATTTTATCAATCTGGATTAAATGAAATTGAAATTAGTTACCACTTAATTTCTCTAAGTCTGCACTAAAGCTTTAATGCTCCTCTGCAGCATAAACAGAGCAGCAGCAGTAACTCTTACAGTAAACTCTGTAAGACTGTACCTGTTCTCCAAGAGCCCTGATAGCTAGGGACTTAAAATAATCTTTTATTCCAGTCCTGTAAGGGATACAGGTCTGGAGGTCCTGAGGTCTGAAGGTCAAGAGGCAGATCCACTCAATACTACTGTAAGATTTTTTAAAACGAATTTAAAAAGGCAAGTATATGCAGTTAAGGCAAACAGATAGTTCAGTTGAACCGCCTAATGCCGTAACTATAGGCAACTTCATCTTACAAGTATGTGCTTGGAAAGACAGAACTTGGCAAATGTCCTCAATCTGTTCTGTACAATGCAAAAAAAAAAAAAATGCTAATCAAGCAGGTTTCAAAGCAACCTGTTCCAGTGAAACTTCAAGCATCACCTCCACGTTTGAAGTTTGTTTTTCTCATATTAGCCAAGTTCTGCTTTCTAGCTTAATTCAGCAGCTGAACAGTGCAGATGGTTCTTTCGCTTCATGTTGATCTACCTCACGAGAAGATCAGAGACCTCTAATTTCATCATCTGTTAGTTAAGCAAAGATTTTGCTTAGGATGAAACCAGGACAGGTAGCAGCTGGAAGGGTGCCTCAGCCCAGCTGCCCTGCTCCCAGTTCTCAGCACAGCTATTACCCATGCATTTCTCATCCCCCATAGTGGCGAATATTCTGTGCAAGAGCTATAAAAGATATTTGACAGTATCAGACATTGGACTGCACTCGTTAAACAACATAAGATTAATCAATGCGTCAGTTCCTTCAGATGTTGTCAAAAGCTGTTAGTAAACATATTCAAAGCAGAACTTCCAGCACTGAACTATATTGAGGTTTAATATGTTTAATCAAGAATCTTCAGGCTTCTTACATTTAATCAAGTGACTTAGTGCTGCACCCTAAGCAGGTTTCCCTTTTAGGGTAATGCAATCGAGGCTGTCTACATGGTCCCCTCTGCTATGGAAAACTGTAATTAAAATATTATACCCAAATTAGTGCTTGCAGGTACAGCATGGGCTGTTTGGCCAAGGGAGTGAAAGGAGACACGCTGCATGGCTGATATACGGCAGTGATCCTAATGTGGGCTATGCAAGGCCATAGAAAAGCCCATCCATCAAGATATTTCAGCGGTTGACAGTGATTTTAACAGTAAGACCATCTTGCGCCTTGCAAGAGTTGATAAAGAGTTTATACGTCTGCAGGATTTATATATTCAATAGACCATCATTATGGCATCTGATAAATAAAGTCACATTTTGCTTAATGACGTCTTTAATCTTCCTGAATCTACATAATACAAAGTAAAATATCCCCTTCCTACATTTAGTTAGTACTACAGGTGATTGAAAGACAGACCAGATATTAAAATACTGGACTTTTACAATAAGAGTGGAGGTATCCCAGAAATATTATAAGAATCTAAGTCATTTTGAGTAACAAAAATCTTGGTAAATTATGGCAAAAGCATTTACAAGACAACTGAACCACCACAGAAATGTCCTGCTAGGTTTTGCACAAAGTGTGGTCTGCACCACACTAATTAGAGATGAAGAGCTCATTTGTGAGGCACATTTTGTTTCCTTCTTGAAGAAGAGGGAAAATATCTACAATGACTATGTAAGCAGCTGGATGAATGCTCTGTTTCAAGCTCAGAATATCTTAAGGATTTCCTACTTACCACCTCCTCGCAAGGGCTTTTTATTTGGCTTCGATTTCGGGACTGCTGATGAGGTGGAGGCACCGGATTCTACTTCTTGCTGTTCACAAAAGCAAAAGTTACTCAGAATTTAATCCACATGAATTTCAGCTAATCTAACCACATAAACATAATTGTAACCTGATTAACAACACAGTTGTTACCTGATTCAGTTTCAGGTTTCCTTTATAGCTTTTTCCTTCTTGCATACTTTCCCACATTGCTATCTTCTGCCTTCGCTTCTCTTCTTCAAGCTACAGAACAAATGCAGGATATGGAACACTAAGATTTCAGAACTAATAGAACTGCCAGCGCTACAGAAACAGCTACAACAGACTCATCAAAACCCAAGGGAACTATCTTTACCCGATGCAGTACCCCCAACGTTAGGGAAGCATTTACTTTTTTAAACACCCACATCTTCCCAACCACAGAACAACCACCCCTCCTCAATATATACAGACTGTGCCTGCAGCTTCTTTTGACCACTTGATGCTTGAAAATATTTTGAAAGTAAAACAGAACCAAGTGGCAAGCTTAAATCCTGAGTTTATAAAAAGTACTGAGTAAAGAAAATTGCATATGATAGTAATTTAAGGGACAAGGTAGGGTTCTGCAGAAAAAAGTGTGGTTTTCAAATGAACAACAGCCAGCTACATATTTACAGCCCAGCATACATTATCAACTGTTCTCCCAGCTCTCTTCTAAAGCAATTTATCCACAAAACCAAACATAAATTAATGGTTAAGACAGGCTGCCTTCTTCTCAACAAACAGAAAGGAAACAAGGTAGCTACTCCAGCCAGTCAAAGAAAGCAAAGCTCCCTGAGCTCACACCAGACCTAGATTTTCTATATTGTGGCCATTTTCTTCCATGATGTGACTTTTCATTCATTTTTAACTGCTGGTATTTCTTGAAGCATCAGCTATAAACTGAGGCCTGAATGTAGCTGACTGCAAAAGTAAAAACAGAAGAAGAGCTAGGACTAATGAGCAATATCATTGCTATGCTGATCACATCCACTTTTCTATGCTGCCCCACATAGCAATATGCTGTTCCTCATTATCTCAAGCTGTAGTTCAAACCATTAAATTACAGCAATGCTAAGCTGCATTTCTAAGAGCTTGCATTTGCCATTAAGAACCGAAAATACACGTGTGCAGTAGTACAGTTAGTCTAAATGCCAGTAAATCCCCCCCAGCCCTTCACTGCACACGTAGCCAAATTTCTGTAGGTACAGATTTACCACAGTGTCCCACACACACCGTTACTTGTGGAGAAGCAAGGGCCACAGAGAGTAATTGCTTCAGAATACTATACGTATCAATCATTCTAATCAACACAGAGCATCAAGACATGAGGTCAGCACAACACGTAAGTATGTGCTTGCATCACTGGAGGTCCATCCTGATACCTACTGCCCGTTACTGCTCCATGGATCAAACCGTATCAGAAGTGGTCCGGGTATAGGAGGTGGAAAAAGCCACCCCCTGCATTCCAGCAGGGAAAGCAAGTCTCCTGTTCTGGTATCTAGCATGGAATAAACCTTTCTGTAACAGCAGCAAAGTACTCAACAACAAATTCATCAGTTAGAGTTACCTGTCTTTGTTTTTCCTTGTATCTTTCTGCTTGTGCATTCAACTCCTCTTGCATCCTGAGGCGAGCTGCTGCCAAAGCTTCCTGCCTTCTTACCACCACATCAGGTTCTAGGAAATTGGGAGAGTTTGCAAAGCTATTCAAAATAAATTCTAAATGGCTTCCTCAAAGAACTGTAGTAAGAAAAAGCTCACACCTCTCCCTACAGCTGTTTTGCAGAAAATCATAGCTCAAGTTCAGTTCCCAGGTAATATTTTACAGTAACTTATATGCTGATTTAAATCTTCTAACATTTTAATATTTTTAGAGTGATTATTTTAATGGGATTTTAATGAATAAGGACACCGATGTAACAAACCCGTAAAAAATTAAAATTCATACTTATAGGATACTTGCTTCTCTTCCCAAAGGATTTGTTTGATACAAATTCAGAAATATCACCCATGCTTCGCAGGGATTCCATTTTTACCCAGAGAACTTCTTTTACGCAGAAGCATGAGGCAACCAGCCCACATTCACTCCCACTCCTTCTGGCAATTGGTCCTGCTGTTTCATTATGGCAGTGAAGCAGTGACAGATTTAATGCTCTCCATCAGCAGAGAAGTTACAAATATCACGCATATCTCAGGAGAAAACTGGCAGTCTCAGAAAATCTACCCTGTGTAACTACCTCTCTTCATGGCTGGCCTTCAGGAGAAGTCAAAATAAAAATGATATCCAAACAAAGGCAAATATTGCTCTCTTTTCTCCCAGTAGCTGAAGCATCTCTACATTTGCTTGTCTCTTTATACGTTTGCTACCATCCAATGATGAATATTTTAAAGACATTTCAGTAATTTCATTTTGTAGGCAGTTTTGGCAATTAAATAAAGATTTAATTAGCATTAAAAAAGAACACTAGTAGGATAAGGGCACACAAGTAATATTTTCTGGGGCCCGACGTAGCGCTATGCCAACAGGCCCAAGGAATCAGTGCCAAGCAGTTATTGTTTTGGCTGATACATAAGCACAGCCTGTGCTGTACAGCAGCAAGCCTGCAAATGAGGCAGGATCAAGACTGTAAGATGTACAACCCACGCCACACTGTAGAAGATAACACACAGGAGAGGCAGTTACACCCCAAATGTATACAATCCTGCCAGAGTAGGAAGTGAGAAGGAGTAATTGAAAGGAGATCACGGATACTAATAAAAAATTAATATTAAACAAAATGGGTTTTTCCCCCAGTATTTAGAGTTGGATGTTTTGTTTTTCTTTGATAAGCCTGGCAGTTCTTTGATAACTGCCCACAACTCATTTGAACCAGTTGGTTCTCTCAGCTTCTGCGCTATCAAACACCACTCATTCCCTTGTTCCCTAATGCCCCGCTCCTTCTCTCCCAACCACACTACTCTGGGATACAAACCTTCCATGATACAACCTTTTAAATTAAAATACTTCTCTTGGTCCAGCCTTTCCTCAGCCCTCTCTTCAGCAACACAACCTGTACGCTTTCATGGGCCTGAGCGGTTATCCCGAGCATGGTTCACCGTTCAAATCACAGAATGTTTTGGGTTGGAAGGGACCCCTAGAGGTCACCCAGTCCAACCCCCCTGCAGGGAGCAGGGACACCTTGAACCAGATCAGGTTGCTCAGAGCCCCGTCCAACCTGGCCTTGAATGTTTCCAGGGATGGGGCCTCCACTACCTCTCTGGGCAACCTGTTCCAGTGTTTCACCACCCTCAGTGTAATCCCCCAGAACCGAATCTCTTTTTGGCCGTTATTAACTAAAAACTGGGCGTGTGGACCCCAGCAGCTGTCAGAAACCCCATCGTGACCGCGGAGGCCTAGCAGGGACCTAAGACAGACGCAAGCATCGGCCTACACAGCTCCAAAGAGCAAGCAAAGACTTACTCACCCACAGCTGCGTCAGCCACTCCCGGCGGGCTGCTCGGCCTGGCCGCCAGGCTCTGGGAGATCTTCTGGACGAGGAGATAGATGGCGACCGCGGCCAAGAGGATGTACCAGCCATAGCTGGACAGCACGGAGCCCACTGGGACGGGAACAAGCCGTAGGTGAGATCAGGCAGCGGGGG